TTTTATTTTAAATGCCATAATGTCAGTTGAAAACATTGCAATTGTGTTTTAAAATACAACAACGAGCACCACAAACCATTTAAAGAGGCGCGTTCAGCGGTCTCCGTGACGGAATAGGAAACAGTCAACAAAGTAAAATTATCTCAAACGAGCTCTCTTCATTTTATCAAATGATCATAATCACATCTATTCATTTTACAATCCTGCTAAGTTACTAGCATTTTATTCAGACTAAATCCCCTTTAAATCGGGTGAGAAAGCGTTTTTTTGTTTTGTTTTTTTTGAGTAACTTTTGCACATCCTGTCATGCCGGGTTGCAGAGACGCATTTTGCAGCATTAAGGTTAAAGATTAATCGATTAATTGATCGTTAATTTAAACGATGATCGATCATGGAAATGATCGAAAATTGACATCCCTACCAGTCAGTGTCAAATGATCCTTCAGAAATCATATTCTGATATATACTGATACAGATTTTTTTTTTATTATCATAAATGTTTAAAACAGTTGCCGTTTAATATTTTTGTGGAAATACTTTTTTCAGGATTCTTTGATGAATAGAAAGCTTGAAAGAACTTTATTGGACTTTACTTTATTGCATTTATTGGAAATATAAAATTTCTGTAACATTATAAATGTATTTACTGTCACTTTTGATCAATTTAATGCATCCTTGCTGAATTGAATGGTAGTGTATTTTTAAATATATATTTAAAAAAAATGCCATAGTTTAGGACACATGGTGATGGGTTGCTATGATGATTTTGGTGCCATAGAAGAACCAGACTCACCAAGAACTCATCTCGGATGAAATATTTTGCTCTCGTAACTCGTGGATCTTCCCCTTGCTCTGGTGTTGCTGACAGAAAGAAAGTAATCTTGTTAATAACACTGATGGTGTGATATCCAAAGTTACTACTGTGCTTTAGACTAATATATGAATATGCATTCAATTCAACTATACGGACTACAAATCATTATTCTATTTCACTGACCATCATCTGGTGTAGTGTAGCGTGCAAACTCAGGGAAGTAATCCTCAATTTTTGATTTTCCCGCCAAAACCTTCTCAGCCAGCAAGTCCTGCTTGTTTAGGAACAGAATGACAGAAATAGTTCGAAGCCACCTGGAAAGCAAGGAGAGAAAAAGATTAAGAGTTTTTTACATTTTCTGAAGAAAATGTGAGTGGTGCGGAAGTATACTCTCATTAGCACTGGTTAGTTCTCACCACAGTTTTAAAAAATGCTAAAAAAGTGGGCGTGGTGCGCAGCGGAGCGGAGGAGGGGGAAGAGGGGAGACAGACAACACACACACAGCTTAGCGTTCTGACAGTTTAATTTCCTTAAAATTAACCAGTTTTCTCCAACAGTTAAAATTATCGGATGCTAACATTGTCTTCTATGATGTGCAACAAAAACACCTCTGCTAAAATCTCAGAAAAAGTAGCCCTCTTTTTACATGTGTAAGCATGTTTTAGGTGTCTCAAGGGTACCTGTTATTCCAGATGTTCTTGAACAGGTTCAGGGCCTCCTGGAGTCTGTTGGTCTGATTGTCCTCTCTGAGCACCATGTTATAACTGCTGCTGGCTACCACGAAAATGATGGCTGTCACATCTGTAACGAGAGAAAATGTTTAAGTGTACACTTTGAACAAGCAATGCAAACAATCCATCATAAAACTATTCCTTAATTACAAAAAATTTATAATAATTAATAAACCAATATATTGGCCAGACTAATAACCTTTGTGTCAGTGAATAGATAAAACGATGGCCAAAATGACAGACCTTTCATTATTATTAATAATATTATTTAAGTAATAAAAGCATAGCATTTACCATTAAAACACTGGATCCATTTCCTGCGTTCGTCTCTCTGTCCGCCAACATCAAACATACTGCAGAAAAAAAAGAGAGGAAACATCAGTTAGGCAGCCACAGATAGGTTGACATGGACCTGTTCACATCAAGCACTCATTACTACTATTAATTTGTAAAAATGATTAAGATGTTAACTGCGGTTATGAAAATACATGCAAACATCTTTTGTCGCACTGTGAATCTGTGAAAAGTTTCATGAAGGCCTCCTAGTCAAACTCACTGAAAATTAACTTTGTCCACTTGGAATCTTGTCTCAAAGATCCCGGAAGTCAGAACTCTGCATCTGAGCAAGTCCTGAGAGACAGAGGCGACAAAGGGAAGAGTTCAAAGTTACATTTACAATAAAAGACACCTTTAAATCAGACACAATAAGAGAATGATGCCTCTTAAGAACAAGAAAGAGGATACAAGCCAAAGATATACGCACAAATATCAACGTCTGAATCCCATCATGTGGATATTTACACACCTGATCAGTGGGAGTATAGTCACTCTGTTTCACAGTGTCAATCCTGTCCAGGAAACTAAAATAAAGAAAAAAGAAAAACAACATTAACAACTGTCCAGTATGTCTCAACACTTCCTTTTAATTAATAGGGCAAGACTGATTTAAGAGATACAAATAAACACAGAATAATGCGATGACAGACAGCTGGATTTATTCCAAACAAGTCAAGACAAGGAATTAAAGAATGTCGTTATGCACAGCCCAAAGTTTAGTCATTGCCGAGCAATCACCTTACATCTGGAAAGCATCCCTAAAAAGACATTACCACATGACTACTTTATTTACAAACCGTATTGTGCTATACCGTGATCTAAATTATTTGTACTGTGAGATAGTGTTGTCAAAAGACCCGGTATTTCGGTACCAAGTCGGTACTAAAAAAATGAAAACGTTACGGTACCAGGTTTTCTTAAGTACCGGTGGTACCGAGTACCCGGTCAACCCGATTCTTGAAGCGCTATCCGAAAGCTATCCTCTTCCAGTGTTGCCAAGTCCACGGTTTCCCACGGAATTGGGCCGCTTTAACACTGTTGCCACGGGTTGTTTTTCATGTCCGCGGGTTGAAAAACGACCCCATTAACGTGATATTTAGCCCCTGGAATGCGAATTTTACCAGGGGAACCCCGCCAAAACACGCGTATTTTATCCCCGGAACTTGATTTTTAATGGGGGACCCCTCGAAACGCGATTGAGCGGGCTTTGTTGTGAAAACCTGGCAACCTCTTCATAAAAGCAGTGGCGACCTCAAGAGGAGGAAACGCATCAAACTAACAAAACACCCCGATCAAGTTCAAGCAGGTAAGTTTCAATTACATTTTTAATATTTAGAGCTTCTGTTCTGTTGGGAATATTATTCCATATTTTAATTTGAATTTCGGATTGAAATAAACATCGCCGTTAGCGTATACGTAGTTAATCGTTAGCATAAGCGCGGCTAAAATTAATTTGTGTATATTGAAGTCTGTCAGTGTGTATTGTATATAGAATAACCAACTGTGAGTCATTTTTACTGTTATTTTCTAATTTTAAAGGCTCATGGTGAGACACTTCATACACACAAGAAGGGCATGCAAGCTGGCCTCCTAATACGAAGACTACGATGGTGCACTGCAGGACACCTTTCTCCTTTTAAATGTTCAAGAAAAAAAAGGACTATGTTATCTAACAAATACAATCTTATTGTAAAGTGTTTTTAATACTACAGTTTGCATCTATTTGATATACACTTAATATATGTAATCTTATCTAAATTTATTATAAGAGCTGAGGTTTGTTATTTCCTGAAAGCTATATTTTAGCTGGTGTCAATTATCTAATGTTGCATTTGGTCAGACTCAGCCCATTGCTTTACTGAAGTATATTATATTTTCCTTTTACAGCTGCAGACTGAGGAAGATCATGAAACACACCAGCAAACCCTAAAACAGACAACAGTTTACAGATGTTTTTCAGTGGCAGCAGAACTATGACTAAACTTTTGGGTGAAACTTGTTTACTTTTTTCATACTTTTATTACTTGTGGAAAAATTTGAAACAATTTTAAATAAGTATAAAGAATGGCATTGGTTTTGTACATTTAATTTTTGTTTAACGTTATTAATAAAAATGTTGTTCAATTAGCATGTTTTTGTGTTTTGCTTTGGTACCGAAATTGGTACCGAGAACCGTGGATTTTCACTGGTATTGGTGCCGAATACTGAAATTTTGGTACCGTGACAACACTACTGTGAGATGATGTCATATCGTCAATCCCTAATAATCATTTGAAAAATTATGTTGAAAAACCCATGTTCAAAAGTGAAAAAACTTTCACATGCATATTTTTCAAATCACCAAATCACTGCATGACAGTCAGCCATGGAGGAAAAAAAAAAGGCAGCTGACACAATCTGCAGCTGCGGAATCAGCCAGCAGGTGGCGCATGTTTGTGCTGGAGATCAAAGCAGGCAGGGTTCTGAGTCATAGTGATCAGAGAGCTCTCAGTCAGAAGCTGCTCTAGTCAATGGATTGGCTCTAGTGGAGGAAACGGGAAGAGAGAGCAAAACAGAGGGAGGGAGGGAGGGAGAGGGATCAAGAAATGCTGTCTTAGTCAAGCTGCTATCCGGTGAAAAATGGCTGCAAGATGGTGGGGCGGCTCGAACTCGCCTCCTGGTCCATGCAGCTGAGATCTTAAAGACGCCCATCAGAATCAAACGTATGCAGAAAGAGTGGCCGATAACAATCAATGTGCCCAACAAAATGTTTCTCATTCAGAACTGGCTCCATTTTTAATAGATCATCATAGATCATATCTGATGAAGAGCCTGCGTGCTCGAAACGTCACACACGCTATGCGACAGTTTTTTTAAATACATTTAATACTTTTGGAGCTTTGGTGTTGCCGACTTTACATTTAAAAAATGTTTCCACTTGTTTCTTAGTCGAGCACCCAGTTGAGATCGATGTGCGTGCTTTTGCCTGCTCTTTGTTAATAGATCATCATAGAAATATGATTTATAATAATGTCCATGCTGACATTATAAATCAGAGGACAATCTAATACAATATAATATAATATTCTTTCTGTAATACAATACTTTCAACTAGTTGACCCTCAACTTGTATTTTATTTTAGTTTTAAGTTTGTTTTAATAGTACGATTTTTGAATATACATTAATAATATTAATAAATATGCATATATATTAATATTTATCATCTGAAGACATAAAAATGCTTCTCATTTAGAACTGCCTCCATGTTTACAAATATCATAGGCATATGATTGATAATAATGTTTTTTTTTTAAGTTAGATTAAAAAAAAAATAATTTATTATCCTACTTGATGTCTTAACCAATTGATGTGTTTGTTACTATATACCTTTAATTTCAAGTCAATCGGATCATTGCACACTGAGATATGAGTATCCATGTTGAGATATGAGTATCCATGTATCCATAGCTGTCTGAAAACTTTCACCAAAAGTGGAGCCCCTTAAATGTGCATTTCTTAGATGTTTAAGCCTTTATCTTGTGTAAGTTTCACTACTTGCTATAAAATTAAGAGATTAATGTTTAGACTTGCATATTATAACCTGGAACTTGGATGTGGGATATAATTACAGTTAGATCCAAAAGATAGTTTTAGCAACATAGCGCAGATGCTACAGAACGTAGTTAGCTGACTAGCTGTATAAAATTGCGTGCTACACTAATATATTACTTCACAGGTATTACTGGCTTGTACTTTTAAATCCATAATATTATAAATTGACAGTTTATTGCTGGTCTGTGGTTTTACACTGCTGAAATGTTTAAAGATTTCATATTATTGTAAGGTAAGCTTAATGGGTACACTATGAAAATCACAGCTTCAGTGTAACATCAATAAGAAAAAGTACAATTTCATAGATATTGTTAATAATAGTTGTTTGTATTAAAATATGTATGAACTTAATACACGACCTAGATTATTTATTTTGCAAAATCTTGTCATTTTAATAAATATTAGGGCCTACATGAAATTTCTTAAAAATTGTTGCTGCTCTAATTAAGCTCAGTGTGCTCTCTTTAAGCTCTTCCACATTGAATGTCTATGTAAATACTTCATAAACAGACTTTAAATATTAACTGATGGTTGTCACTTTAAGTTAATCTTTATAAAATGATTAATAACTCATTTTCACAGCTTTAAGGTGTCAAAATCTAGACATAACTATAGTTTATGCCCAAAGATGAAAGCGGCAAGTTTCTGTGTTCATCCCTGTGAATGAAATGTTTTATTGGTTGTTTTGTTATTAGATTTTTGAATATGTTACTTAGCTGAATGTGGACTAGTCTAGATGTTGCAGTGTGCTTAAATGACACTTCACTATGAATATATAACCGATCAAATTGAATGCCTCGTTGCTTGATTTTAGTGTTCTGTTGTTGTTTTTTTATGATTGACTTTATACCTTCAAATAAAACATTTTTCAATTATTCTTTAAAAAGGTTGTTTAAAATAAACAAGAATTTTAATAAAACATGATTTGAGCTTAATGGGAACAGGGGTGTGCTTAAAGAGTACAAAAATGTACCCATTAAGCACAGCCAGACTTTTTGCATTTAATGATGTATATCTTAATTGAAATGCTTTTGTCATTTAAAATAAAATGAAATATTTCTGTGTGAGAGATTAATATTTTATTTTAATATAACTTCTTGTGCTGAAACCGATATCTTGTGCACTAAAAATGTCTGTTTAGGTTTAGTTATAAATATATTTCACATATGAATTATATTAATTAGTCTTTTAGTTCTAGTTCAGAAACATGATTTGTTCTGAATAACATTTTAACAATATTAATTGTATCATTTTATCTTTCTAATTATATATATATATATATATATACACATACATATAATTATTCACGGTATTTAGAAGTGCCCACGATAACAATATCGTGCATATTCAGTACCGTGATATATCGCATGACCGAATACCGGCACAAGTCTAACATACATACATACATACATACATACATACATAGACACAAAACTGCTAAAATACATTAATATTTAACATTACAATATGATATAAAATGAGTACAATTAATATTGTTTAATTAAATGTTATTCAGAACAAATGACTTTTATGAACTAGTTTATTTAGAAAGACCAATGAATCTCCAAAAGTACTAAAAGAATCATTAAGGAGTTATAATTAGAATCATTAAAATTCCTCACAAATGCCAGCAAAAGAGTAACGCCTAAATCAAAGCATGAGGGAATCAAGAGAGAGAGCGAGAGAAATCCGCAGGCTGGACGCGCATGTGCATCCCCCCATCCAAGTGCAACAGGAATGTGACACAGAGGGTTGAAATCTGACAGCAAGGCTGTAGGTCCCACACACAGCGGCATGGACTGCATTACTGTGTGTATGTGCATGCATGCAACACACCCAGCAGGCCGCACAAATGAAAGTGTGGCACATCACGTGGAAGAGGGGGCATAAACAGAAATAAAAAGAAGCAAACAAAAAAAGACAGACAGGATA